TTGTCGGACCATCGGGAAGGATCGAGCTGGGCCATGAGGGCTGCCTTCAGCTACCGATGGAAACTTTCTACGAGGCCATTCGCCTGGGGATGGTATGCCGTCGTTCGAATCCGGTTAGTGCCAAGAAGGGGAGTGAACTGGCGGAATAACGCGGACACGAACTGGGATCCGCGGTCAGTTGTCACAGTTGCAGGAATATCAAAGTTGGATACCCAATGCGTAGGGAAAGCTGCCACAGATTCAAGTCTCCAGCCTCCCTCCAGGTCTGGAGCTGCCAAATGAATAAATGGTTAAGCATGCTCGAGTATACGTTACGGTTTTACCCTCTGTTCTTAAATCGCAAATGAGGAAGGCGAGTGGTGAACTCAAAACTTGAATGTCCTCCGTGCGCGCATTTAGTGATGCATGTTTAACATTATAAGTCTATTGTGTCACACTTCCTGTCAGCTTTAGATTGCTTAACTTCTGCGATATACTCAAATGTGTACTGAATACTTATATTTGCTCAGCTGTGCTAAGATTTCAATCCCACTGATACGCTTTTTACTAAAATAAAAAAAGGTAAAACTATCACGTACTGCTATGCAGTGTGAAGAAGGAATGTACATCGGTTTGCCTCCATAAACTTTTATCTACAAAGGTCGGCAACAGTAGCTTAAGTAGTTCCTTTCATAAATCCCTACTCTCCAGCATGTTTTCCTACGAAAACGGTGGTTATACGGTTTTATGGGTGGGTATTAGGACACACAGTGGAATAAACTTTGCTAACTGCTATATGCTTTTTAATTTTATTGTATTTAGAAGTGTTGTTAATTTATATCTGTAGATTTTCTTAATGTGTATTCTCGTTTAACTTATTGCGGAAAAAACCGATTATCAAATTGCAGGTTTCTTGAAATTCCTGAAAAATAGAAATGTTGGTTAGGAGGTCGTCTACTTCAACTTATCTGAGGTCCAACTTACCGTTCTGAAGTTAGATGAGAATAGTCCGCGGCGCAAAGCGCCGTGCACACCTTCAATTTACACGCGTAACAACTTACTCCCAGCGGCCACGGGAAGCAACTTCGACTGCATTTTTTCACTTAACACTTACTTCTAAAAATTTCCTTCTCTGCTTATTCTATTTCCCCACCACCCCCCCCAAACCCTATAACCACCGTTTTCGTAGGACAAAATGCTGGGACTATGGATATATGAGGGGAACTACATAAGCTACTTTTGCCCAGAGGTCATGTGTATTATAAAAGTTCCATATGATGAGAATTTATGCAGTCACACACGCCTGGACTGTCTTGTCAAACTAATAGGTAATCCTGTTAATAATACTTGAACGGGATAGCAAGCGTTCAAAAGTGTCCTTTTTCTCCTGGATTAAAATTAGTGAAAAAGAGAGAGATAAGATGGAAATTTTTTGCCATTTTATAAGAGGATCAGTAGTTGAAACTAGAGCAATCTGACTCCGTGTACTGGAAAACCCGAATCAGACAGTTTATATGTGCACCCTTTGTTTTCGTCTTTGCAGTGTCACAAAATAGCTCGGTTACGTCGAAAGCGCATGCTGTCGCTAAAAGACTCCCTGAAGTTTGAGCAGTCCGTGGGAGACAGTCGCCACAACCTCGATTCCATTCTGACTCGCTTGGGCCAGGTTCTGCTGCATCAGCAGGCTCTCAACCCCTCCTACCCACCATCAGGATACGGCAGTGAGGAGAGGGGAGATGACGCGGAGGCCAGTCCGCAGAGAATGGTGCGCTCCGTGGCAGCTCAGACCTTCACTGAACTGCGCGAGGACTCAACAGACGGACAACCCTCCAGTCAACACCCTGAAACAGCCGCAGACCAGCATCGTAGTTGTGAACAGGAACCAGACATCACCCGCTGTGACTACTGCGAAGGCGTAAGTTGGCAGAGAATAATTGCATAATTAACGTCGGGCCAAACCTCTCTCCTATTTATCACTTGACAACTTTTGCCCAGTCAGTCTTGCTGCTGATTCATTCTTCTGTACTTTTTGGTAATTTTAACTTCAAGACTTGTGCGCATACGTGTACTTGCAACCGACATGTGTCAGTTGTGTGTTGAACGGTTACTCGGACTTTGAAGTCGATAAAAAGTGATTCAGGTACTAACTAGAATACAGAAGGGGAGTTCAGAAGAGATGTGGTGGATGCTTGCAAAAAAACAAAATGCTTGCAAAATCTCAAGCCACTGTTTAGTACGTTACACGAATACATATTTGCAATGAAGTGAAAAATTAACCAGAACGAAAATACACTCGCATCACAGCTGTTTGTAATGCACTCGTTTCTTTTCTATTTAAGTACTTTTTCGCTTAGTTTCAAACACACATATGTTAGTGTCTTTACAACACGTACGTTTGTCAACCACAGATAGAGCAACAATACTTTCGGTCCTTGAACCGAAACCAACAATTCCTACATAAGAGATTTTACTTTTCAGAGGGTTTGCCTTCATAAAAAGCAGTCTCCTTGAGTACCAAAATTACCAGAAAAGTTTATTATGGCATTTTATTCTAACGTGAATGTAACTTTCAACATTCCAACTTTCCGACATTCTACTAACTGCCTTACCATTTACCTTTTCGAGTACCACTGCGACCAACCACTATCATAATATACCATGTACATACCATGTACATATCGTAATATATCATGTACATTTAAGCCGCCTTACGCATGCTATCTTAAGAAAAGAAATAGTATGATGCGTCTATCGGTTAGTCTGATGGATAAGAAACAAGACGTCCCCCACTGTGGCTTCTGCGAAAGTGTAAGTGGGCGGAGTATAATTACATAATTAGCGTCAGCTTAACTCCTCTCAGTCATTACTTGACAACTTTTGCTTTGTCAGCCATGCTGCTGATTCATTCTTCTGTACTTTTCAGTAATTTTAACTTCAAGACCTGTACTGATGCGTGTACTTGCAGCCGACTGAACGGTTACTCGGGCTTTGAAATCAATAAACATTTCGAATCACCTACTAACTAGGATATAAAACGGAAATTTTCACAGTGGGTTAAGTCAATAGGTAAATCCCTAGTAGCTGCGATCTTCAGGGCCTTCGGGAAGCGAAGAAGGAGAACGTCAAGTGAAAGGAATATTGTATTCTGTACAGAACTAGTGGGGAATAGGTAGCAGGAAGTTGACATTCTGACTTATACACGTCCGGCCCGCGAGGAGACCAGCTCCGAAGTGTGTCATTGCGGGAATCGTCACAAGCGTCGAGGGCGGTCTTTGTGTGAGTCAGTCTTGATTGACTAGACGGGTTGGGGCAGACAGACATTTGGGTGTCCGCACTTGCTAGCCACCGCGAGATGTTGAGCGTTGGCGCAGTTTGCGGATAGGCTGTCCCATGGGCAACCGAGACTGTCATCACTTGTTCTTATGTGTGGTGTGACGCGGGAGGAGCAAGTAGCGCTACGGGGCCATTACAAATTTCTGAATTTTGATTGTGGATGCTCGCAAAAGTAAACACGTAAATGTCTGACTAAACAATATACTTACCTTATGGGAAATTTCAAGTCACCATTTAGAGACTTAGACGACTTTGAATCTATAGAAGACGGTAAAGCGTTCTCTGGGACAAGTGGTTTATTTGTCCGACGTTTTGAACTCTCATGCGAGCTCATTGTCAAGGGAGGAAAAATTGTACAGCTCACTGTGTATTTAGCTCAGCTCCGCCGGGAATGACCTTGACCTTGAGCTCTGTCATCGATTTGTTCGCACAACGCTGGATAGGCATCAGGAAGATGGATATACCTAATA